CCTAATGGGTCACACACATAAGGTGAATTGTCAAAATTAATTTAAGTTCAATTGGATGTGATCTAATTAATTTTATAGAGGCTTGATCTAATTAAGTATTGGGCTCCATCAAATATGATTTGATGGAGTATTAAATAAAGGCCCAATTAGCCCAAGACATTTTATAATCCTTATTGGATATAAAGTAGGTCAATTCACTCTATAAAAGAATCCCTTAACTACCTTTTGAATGATAGAGAAGAGTTCTATTTTAGGTTTTCATGTGTTGAGATAGGATCACAACCAAAAAGAGAGAAACACAAGAGAGCTCAAAAGGTTGAGAGTTTGCTAGCACAAACTTCGGCTTAGGGATTCACACACTCTTAGTAAAGAGATTTCGACAAATCACTGTGTAGATCACCATTAGAGGTAGGACAATTGTGCTGCTATGATTTGATAAATCCTAGTTGGTGTACAAAAGTTAAAATGAAAAAATAATGAGGATTCCACCAAAGAAAGTAGACTTTTAGGTAAGTCAAAATTTTTCTTATAGTTTTTCTAGATTAGTTTCAATTAAAGTGATCCATAGCTTTAAGGATTAAAATTTTAATAATATTCCACTACGTATGAGTTATCTTAATATGATTTAAATTCTCAACACATGTAACACCCCGTGACCTAGAATGGTGGGTAATACAACGTTAAAAATGAGATTAAGACTAATAGAGATCAATTTAAGAGTTTTGGAGCGGTGAAGAGGGAATGAAATATTTTGAAATAAAATATTTCATACGTAATAAAATAATAATATATTCTTAAGGTAGTCGTTATGGAGTAAAAAGGAGCAATGGAGCTAAACCAGGATAAACTACAATGTTTTGGAACCCTAGAAGCCAAATGGAAAAAATTTAGAATTTACTAATATTTTATTAATAAAATATTATTAAAATAATATTGAGATATTCCTATTGTGAGTGGTGGACAAACTCACATAATATAAGTGTTGAGCTTAAGTGGGAAAGTTGAAATATAATTTTGATGATTTGATGAATAAAATATTATTTTATTGATTCTAGAATATTAGTTTAGTGTGTGAAATTTTAATGTAGTGATGTAAGTACTAATAATAGTACATGTGAGTTGGAAGGAATAGAGACATGAAAAATTAATTAAGATAATAAAGATATGTGGAATAATGAAATATGCATGTAGATTCACTATTATATGTAAATGATTGCATGCAAAAAGAAGAAAGTTAGTGGAGAACATGTGGGACCCCCACCATGTGGTGTAAAAATAAGAATAAGAATAAATCCTATTGCATGTAATAAGATTGGTGCGTTAGGTAGCCAAATGAGAAAAGAAAAAATGTAAGATGCATGTGACTTGAATGGTTTAATGAATGACCAAATAATATATAAAGTAAAAGTTGTGCATGAAATATGATTAAAGGAATAAGGTGGTGCATGGAATAAAGAATGATATAGTGAAGGTGGTGGATGGGAAAGATAAATAAGGATAGATATTGGGTCAATGAACAAGGGAGAAAATTGGTGCATGAAAATTGAATGGGTGATAAATTGGTCCAATGAGAAGTGAGGAATAAAATAAAGAAAAAAAGATGGAGAAAGGCTTGGAGAACATCAACAAAATCGTACCTTTGAGAGAAAAGAAAGAGAATCGGTTTTGAAAGCAAAAAGAAGGAAGAAAGGAGAAAAAAAGGAAAGAAAAAGGGGAGATAAGAAAGAAGAAAAGCTAGGAAGAGATTCGGTTTTTGGAGAAGTTGGAGAAAAATTGAAAAGTTTTCTGCCATTTGCCATTGTTGCAGCTTGAAGGAGAAATTGGTGGTTCGGCTTAGTGATTCAAAGGTAAGGAAGGTAAAAGCTGTCATTTTGTTGAATGCATGCCTTATGAACCGATTGTAATGTGAGATTATGCTTGTGGTAGAAAGAATCTTCAAGGTTTCAAAGAATTGAGGGCATGCATGTGGGTTGATCTTAGAAGTATGGTGATTTTGAGCAAGACAAGTAACGGGTAAGCGTTTTTAACCTTGAGATCATAAGTGGAAAGGAAAAATAAGATGTTTATTGATTATTTGTGCTTGTGGCAGCAATGGTGACCAAGGATGTGAGGAGATTGTGAGCTATATGTGGAATTCAAGGTAAAAATTAGAAGGTAAGAATGGAAAATGGGTACATTATGTTATATTATTGCATATTAGATTATTGTGAATAATAAGGATGAAAAATGTGAAATTAGATTAAAGATTCATTGAATAAGGTGCTGCCCATATATGTGTGCAATTAAATATAAAATATGGAAGTAGACATAATGAAGAAGTAGATTATTTGTGAGGGATTCTTGAAAATAAAGAGAACTAAGAATATGGTATATACAGTAGCAAATACGACATAAATTGTGGTGAAGTTCTCTAAGTATATTGAATTTAATCTGCTGCTAGGAAGTGTATAAGTAAGGAAGGTTTGCCATGGTGGTGTACCGAAGGAGGTAATGGGTGACCGACAAGTAGAATTAGCTAGAGATGCACTCGAATCGATAGCGACATAGCATCTCGCTATTGTGAGGTGAGTAAGAGGTGTCTATTTTAAAAGTTCCATAAACTATATAATGATATAAGTATAATAAACGCTGCCAGTTTTCTTTAAATGCAATTATGGAAATCATGAATTGGTAAAATGCTAGGCACTTTTGAATGCTACGTTTTTAGAAACGTTTTGGTAGATGTGCATTCATGAATAAGCTATATATGTAACGGGTTTTAGAAATTGAGAAACAAGCTTTTTATCACGATTTATGTCAAAACGTGCCTTACTTGTTTTTGTGATGTGCATTCATGAATAAGTTTTATGATCACCATGCTTTGATTTAATATTTAAACCTCACACAAAGCTTTTACAACATGAAGTCTTACAAATGGATTTATTACGTCACCATGATTGGTACTTTGGAAATAGATAAAAAAAATAAGCTTTTAAGAGCCCAACTTGTGTAACGACCTCTTCCCTTGATCATTACCGGTGTCCGAGACTTGAGAGTAAACCCGCCAAATGCGGAACCAGCCTTAAGCAAACTTTCGGACAATTTAAACTGAACTCACAAATTTTAATGCCATGGTTCGCTTAAACCAAATAAGCACAATATTTGAATCATGACATTTAGATACAAATAATTAAGTTTGATAACTCCACAACATGTTCAATGTAATATGCGGTAATCATTACACAACCTCAAGTTTTGACAAATACATTTCCACAAACTATTACTCATCATAAGCTTAACTATCCGACACAACATGACCTCTAGGTAGTGGAGCGACTCGGAGTGGAAGGCTAAGAGATGCCATTACCTACGTTGAAGTAAGTCTTGATGTGCTGAGCAATACACCTGAGCTAGTTACTTATCTGCAAAATGAAATGAAGGGGGTGAGTCTCACAGACTCAATGATCATCAACCCCATGAGTAAGGCGTAAATGGGAAACAAGCGCATGGCAAAAATTTTGCATAATAAAATTATGAAAATGTGTATGCAAGCCACTTAACTTGAAAGGGGAGTTTATGCCTTATATGTAAATCAAATAAGTTAATGCACGATAGTCATTTAGATTAGATATCAAACCAATACAAGAAAAGATCCTTATCGTCAGAATCATTTAGCGGCAAATCAGTATGAGTACAAGATTATTTTCCCTCTTTAAATTCATTCAAAAACTTTACTCAAACTAGTTTGTCATAAACATACATGCTCTCTTGAAATACAACATTAACAAACTTATATGCAAATCCATAAATCATCTTGTACGCG